AAAATAAGCATTTTACCCCTGCAAGGGCGCTCCTTAGGATTCTTTAAATTGAATGCTAATGCAGGGGTGGCAATCTTGGTACTCAAAGGCCGCCATTCTGCAGGTTATAGATGTTTCTCTGCTTCAACACAACTGGTTTGAATTAACAGGTTTCTGTAGAACCTGAAGAGGTGATTCAGTCACTGAGCCAGGTGTGTTGGAGGACGGAAACAGGTCCAGCATGCAGGATGGTGGCCCTCGAGGACCAGGATTGTGCATCAGTTGTCTATAGTATCGAAGGTAATTTCTTGATGCCAACAGTGAGTTCCGTTCATAATAGGAAGTTGAAAATTACGAGTTCTTATTGGAAAAAAATGAACCGAAACACGTTCTAGTCTGCAGAAGTCAGAATCGTGACCAGGAAATCTGCCCGCCTCGTGTCGGAAAAACTGTTGATAGCAGAAAAAATTAAACTATAATTTCAATTCTGTTGGTTTATATCTCATGAACTCAGTCGCTCACAGATGTTTAAACCTTGTAGCTACAATGTCAGTTATGGATACACAGGGTGAGTCAAAAGTCACAGGACACCATTTTATTTTTGATCCAGTATGGCAGCTTTCAAGATGGCAGCAATGTTCTGGACATAGCCTAAAAGATAGCCCCCCTCTCCCATCACTTACTGGGGTATTCAGATATTTAATTTTACCTCTTCTTTTTGGAATAACAGGGTGTGTCCTGTGACTTTTGACTCACAGTGTAGAATAATTAATTAATGGACACAGGAATGTATTGTGGACATTGCAGTCGTAACAAAACCAGCTGTAGGCTGGCTGCAGTTTTAAATCAATAACATGCAACTGAAACGCTTGAGCTGAGGGAGGCATCATTCTTAGACTTGACCTTTAAGGTAAAAATAACTTTTTCTAGTTTATATTTACCCATAAATATTTGTTATTTAGTGTTAAACGCAAAGGGCAATAAATATTACAGGAGGAATAAGGTCAACAAAGGGTAATGCTATCTGTGCAGCTTTGTCAGATAGGAAAGTCTTTAAGAGGAGGAGGTTATTATCTGACATTTAATGTT